TTAAAAGCTCCTTTTTACCTTTGTTGAGTAGAAATGGGTAAATTCCAGACGAAATATCCAGATGATTCTATGAAGGTGTGTGGAGTAAAAACACAGTGGAGCACTTCCTGTATCACCACATGATGACATCACGAGTGTTTTCTGTTTGAGAGAAGAGCTCAGCCTAAATGTGTAGGTTTGTGTGTTAAACATGTTGAATGAAACAAAAGACAAGTCCAGGTGTGTTTGTGATGAGAAACGACATTAGAACAGAGATCATCAAATAGTTCATATGGAGCTTTATGCAGCTCACAGCTCTAAGTTATATTGTCTGTGTGCGATGTTGAGCTGAGGCTGAGGATGATGAATACACCACATTCACACTCAGCATCAGTAACTGGCTCATACAGCACATGGGGCATGAAGACGCAGGCAGCTCAACTCGTTTTGTGCTGAATGGACACTTCTAATGTTTGTGATGAGAGGAAAAAACACTTTAAGTCACTTTGATTCTAGTCAAATCCTGTCCACATGTTTATCAAAGTGTCTTTGTGTCCACAGTAAAGTGTCCATACCTGAGAGTGTCCAGTGTGCAGTGGGGGTCCTCCTGTAGAGCACACAGGAGCTTTACTCCTGTGTCTCCTGGATGGTTGTAGCTGAGGTCCAGTTCTATCAGATGAGGGGTTGGACCTCAGAGCTGAGGCCAGAGAAGCACAGCCTTCTCTGGAGCAGACAACCTGCAGCTGAGGACACAGATTATTGGAATCAGTCCATTCATTAGAAACATCAACCCAATGAGACAAAGAACAAGTCCAGATCTTTATGGACTTTATCAAATGTGATTTTCCAACACAAATACCAACAGGTTATGTAATAAATAGTGAAGAATATGAACCCCTCTGACCTGAGCTGTTCCAGTTTACAGTGACAACTCTTCAGTCCAACACACAACATCTTCAGCCCGAGTCCTTCAAGTCATTGAGACGAGGTCCAGGACTCTCAGACTAGAGGACTGGGAGCTGAGGACTGAGGACAGAGCTTCACAGCTTCTCTCTGACAGGTTACAGTGCTCATCTTAACAGAAAACATTGTTTATGTAGAAGTTGAATCAAACCATCCTCTGTTAAACAAAGGAGACTCACAGAGCTTTGGTGGAGGCCTTGACCACTGGCAGCAGCCTCAGGAGAAACTCTCTGAAGCAGAGTATTTCTTCAGCTCAAACTGGTCCAGATCTTCTTCTGATGACAGTAAGATGAAGGCCAGAGCTGACACTCAGCAGGAGACAGTCGACTTCAGACAGACGTCCTGATCTCAGGTACTGTTGGAATCTGCTCCACCAGAGAACGATCATTCAGTTCATTCAGACAGTGGAGCAGGTTATGCTCCTCTCTGCAGACACATCCTCACTCAGCTTCTTCTTGATGTACTCAGCTGTTTTCTGATTGGTCTGGGAGCTACTTCCTGTCTGTGTCAGCAGACCTTGTAGAAGGCTCTGATTGGTGACAGTGAAAGACCCAGGAGGAAGCGAGGAGCAGGTCCCAGGTGTCCGTTGGACTCTGTTAAGGCCTCGTCCACAGCTGTCTGATTGAAGATCTTTAGTTTTTTTTTTCACACTGAACATTGTAGACTTCTGTGTTTTCTCTGAGAAAGCAGGTTGATCCCAGTGTTGATGAAGGTCTGATGGACGTGAAGAGCAGCCAGAAACTCCTGCCACACTCAGATGATGAAGCAGTAGACCTGTCCTGGTACAGGCCTGGCTCTCTCTAAGACCTGTGTGAACACTCCGGAGTACACTGAGGCCGCTGCAGCGTCCAGCCCACACTCGCTCAGGTCACTCTCGTAGAAGATCAGGTTCCTTTCTGCAGCTGCTCAAAGGCCAGTTTTCCCAGAGACTTCACCACTTCCTGGTCTCTGGACTCCAGTGTGGGTCTGTCTCAGATCCTTCTTCATACTTGATGTTCTTGACTTTGGCCTGAACCACCAGGAAGTGGAGTACATCTGAGTCAGGGTCTTGGGCAGCTCTCCTCTCTCTCTGCTTTTCAACAGATGCTCCAGGACTGCGGCAGCGATCCAGCAGAAGATGGCAGGTGGCACATGATGGGGATTCTGGACATCTTGATGTGGGAGATGATTGTGTCGGCCTCGTCTCTGAACCTCTTCCTGAAGTACTGCTCCTTCTGCGGGTCGGTGAACCCTCTGACCTCTATCACCATGGAGATGCACTCAGCAGGATCTGATTGGCCGCCGCGGGTCGTGTGGTTATTCAGAGGCGAGCGGAGGGAAGCAGGCTCCCCTGATGAGGTTCACCAGCAGCACGTGCACTGAGGCGGACTCTGTGGGGTCGCTCAGGGCCTCGGTTTTGGTGAAGTCCAGAGGAGGTCTGCACTCGTCCAGACCGTCAAAGATGAAGAGCACCTGGAGGTGTTCAAAGCTGCAGAGTTCTGCTCGTGTTTGACTAAAGAAGTGATGGACAAGTGTCACCAAGCTGAAGCTTCTCTCCTTCAGTACATTGAGTGCTCTGAAAGTGAACGGGAACAGCAGCTGTATGTCCTGGTTGGCTTCACCTTTAGCCCAGTCCAGACTGAACTTCTGAGTGAGCACTGTTTTCCCGATGCCAGCCACTCCCTTTGTCAGCACTGTTCTGATGGCTCCATGTGTGTGAGCTGGGCCTTTAAACATGTCTTCACATGTGATGGCTGTCTCTGCTGGGCCTGGTTCCTGGAGGCTGTTTCCATGTGTCTGACCTCATGTTCCTGGTTGACCTCTGAAGACCCTCCCTCTGTGATGTAGAGCTCTGTGTAGATCTCATTCAGAAGGCTGGAGTTTCTGCTTTAGCGATGCCCTCAAACACAAACTCAAACTTCTGCTGCAGGTCAGACTCAGTTTTACGCCGATTAAACTCCAGAAGAAAGTCCCTGAATTGAACAACAGATACAGACCTGAGTCTCAGAGAAGATAAATGACTGTGAGCACCTTGTTAAATGTGTTAAATGGTCCTACTGCTCCTCAGACGCTCAGCCAGCTCCTTCTGCTTCATCCTCCTCAGGAAGTTCAGTGTGATCTTCAGAACAGCCTCACTGCAGCTCCTCTGCTCTTCATCCTCATCCTCCACAGGATCTAAACCTTCTGGCTCATCTGTACTCAGAAACCTTGTGGAGCTTCTTCAGCTCCTTCTGGACAAAAGTGAAGATGTCCTCCTCCAGAAGCTGAACAGACACATTATAAACAACACAAATGCAGTCAGTGTCAGATCTGTGTGAAACAAGCTTCATTCATCTGAACATTTCCAAACTTTAGTGAATGACACACCTTAAAATATGGAGTCCAGCTGTGTGTGATGGTGCTGACCACTGGAGACCTCTGGACCCGGCTGCTCCCCTCTGTCACAGAGACACATGTAACATGCATCATTATTATTTATTATTTATATATTGTTCTTATGATCAATGCTTTTGAAAACTCACAGCTACTTGGCAAAATTAACTGGACGTTCCATAGACCAGTCAGCACTAAGTAAGACTTAGTGCTTTCTGTCTGTTCAAGGAACACCATGTTTCAGCACAAGAGTGTCCATCAGTGCACGTGGCACCAGGACACTCTAGGCCGGAGGTCGATGATCGACTTTGTCGTCATGTCATCTGACCTCTGGTCGTGTGTCTTGGACACTCGGGTGAAGAGAGGGGCAGAGCTGTAGAGCACCACCTGGTGGTGAGTTGGGTCCACTGGTGGAGGAGGAAGTCGGAAAGACCTGGCAGACCCAAGTGTACAGTGAGGGTCTGTTGGGAACATCTGGCAGAGTGTGCTGCAGCCCGTGCAGTCACAGAGACAAAAACTCGGGGTTGGGAGGAGTTCGGGGAGGACATGGAGGAGAACTAACGGATGGACTCAAAGAGATTCTGTCAAACCGTCCAGTGCCTCAGGAGGAGGAAGCAGTTCTTCACCAACACTGTTTACAGTGCGGGGGGAGAACTGTCCCCTCCTTGAACCGTCACCTTATCGTGGTGGAGGGGTTTGAGCCTGAATGATCCTGGGAGCTCTGTTGTCGAGGGCTTCATGCCCCTGGTCACCCAAGGCAAAAAGGTCCTGGGGGACGGGTCAGACGAAGAACGGTTCAGAAGCCCCACATGATGACTTCTAATCAGAGGCCAGTTACGTCGCCTGGAATGGTGTCACCGGGGCCCCACCCTGGAGCCAGGCCTGGGGTAGGTGCTTGAAGGTGAGTGTTTGTTGGCCGGGCCTTCCCCCACGGGGCCCGGCTGGGCACAGCCCGAATGAGCGACGTGGGGCCGTCCTCACGTGGGCCCACCACCTGCGGGAGGAGCCATATAGGGCCAGTGCAGAGAGATCTGGGCGGCAGTCGAAGGCGGGGGCCTCGACGACCGGATCTCCGGACATGGAGACTAACTCTGGGGACATGGAATGTCACCTCGCTGGGGGGAAGGAGCCTGAGCTTGTGCAGTAGGTTGAGTGTTACCGACTAGATATAGTCGGCCTCACCTCCACGCACAGTTTGGGCTCTGGAATCAACTCCTTGAGAGGGGCTGGACTCTCTTCTTCTCTGGCGTTGGCTGCGGGGAGCGGCGGCGGGCTGGTGTGGGCTCATTGCCCCACAGCTCAGCCACTGTGTGTTGGAGTTCACTCCGGTGAACGAGAGGGTCGTGTCCCTGCACCTTCGGGTCGGGGACAGGTCTCTCACTGTTGTGTCGCCTACGGGCTGAACAGCAGTGCAGAGTACTCGAGTACCCGACTTTCTTGGAGTCCCTGGGAGGGACTAGACCAGGGGTGGGCAAACTACGGCTCGGGGGCTGTATGCGGCCCTTTAAACCTTTTAACCCGGCCCGCCGAACTGGAATAAATTACAATGATGTTTTTTTTGTCATGCATTTCCAGCGTTTCCTAGTAGATGGGGCACTATATATACATTGAGGTGCGAGAAGAATGAGAGAGTAGTTGGTGTTCAAGATATAAGGCTCCACTGCTTCCATTTTAAGTTGGTAAAAATCAAACATAGAAAACCTTTAAACTCTGAGTTGTAATTGTCAGTGTGTACAACATCATACAGTCTGGTTTTACTGCACTCGCAGGTGTGCGTGCGCGTATTTTCAGTCAGATTTGAAAACGGTGAGCTCATGATATTCATTCACCTGTGGTGTGCAGTGGAACAGGTCTATACACTTTTATGTGTTCTGAATCGTTCACAGCAGTGTTGAAGCGTGTAGTGCACGTCCGAAGTCCTATATAAATGTGAATATGAATGTAATGAAGCTGAGCTCTTAACACGTTATGTCCTGTCTTCTGTCCGGCCCTTCAGTCAAACTTTAGGACCCTATGTGGCCCACGAGCCAAAAAGTTTGCTCACCCCTGGACTAGACAGTGCACTGACCGGGGACTCCATTGTTCTACTGGAGGACTTCAACACCCACGTGGACAACGACAGTGACACTTGGAGAGGGGTGATTGGGAGGAACGGCCTCCCTGATCTGAACCCGAGTGGGTGTTTTGTTATTGGACTTCTGTGCTAGTCACAGTTTGTCCATAACGAACACCATGTTCGAGCACAAGAGTGTCCATAAGTGCCCGTGGCACCAGGACACTCTAGGCCGGAGGTTGATGATCGACTTTGTAGTTGTGTCGCCTGATCTCCGGCCGTGTGTCTTGGACACTCGGGTGAAGAGAGGGGCTGAGCTGTCAACTGATCACCACCTGGTTGTGAGTTGGGTTCGCTGGTGGAGGAGGAAGTTGGAAAGACCTGGCAGGCCCAAGCGTGTAGTGAGGGTCTGTTGGGAACGTCTGGCCGAGCCTCTGTCAGAGGGACTTTCAACTTGCCCCTCCGGGAGGACTTCTCCCAGATTCTGGGGGAGACTGGAGATATGGAGTCTGAGTGGGCTTCATTCTCGGTCTCTATTGTCGATGCGGCTGCTCGGAGCTGTGGGCATAAGGTCTGTGGTGTTTGTCGCGGCGGCAATCCCCGAACCCAGTGGTGGACACCGGAAGTAAGGGATGTCGTCAGGCTGAAGAAGGAGTCCTATCGGGCCTTGTTGGCTTGTGGGACTCCTGAGGCAGCTGACAGGTACCGACGGGCCAAGTGTGCTGCAGCCCGTTTGGTTCCAGAGGCAAAAACTCGGATCTGTTAACATCTTTAGCAGTAGTCGTGTTGCCAAGACTCAAAATTAGCGTCACACACGCCCCCTCTTTAATGCTAGTGCTAGTGCTAAGATCGGGTTTGTTGGTTTAGTTGGATTCAGGTCATTTTTTGCTTCTCACTGATATATAACATTCATATGTCCAGATGAATTAGAGTTGGTTTGGAAAATGTTTGTCTAAAAAGCATTTGACCCTGAGGCCAGGTTTGGACATTTGGACCAGATCTAACTCCACATATACTTCTAATATCATGCACCATAAAACACAGCGCTCACTCACAGCTCTCTCCTGAAGGATATTGGACGACATAGACCAGTCACTCCTGAGGGACTCACAGCTGGGACCAGGTTCAGACGGAGGATGTTTCTGCTGGATCCTGAGACACAGAAGAAAACACACTTCAGTCAGAGTAAAACACATGGGACTGTTGTGACTCAGATACAAAGTGTTCAGGAGGCCTTCACCGCACACACTGATTGTCTTTCATTTGAAGTGAACTTTCATTGTTTTGTGAACACCTTTTTATTTCAAACCTGACACTTTCATGTGTGTTTTTCATGTTCAGACTCTGTCCAGGTACGGGCCTGACACTGACACTGAATATAATGAATGTTTGTTCACCTGTGAAGCCCACAGGCCTCGTTTGGACAAATCCTCGGGAAAGGAAAAGTGCAGATAAACTGAGGGTTTCCTCAGCCTGTACATGGTCCACATGGAGGATCTTCGTGTCGTCAGGCTGAAGAAGGAGTTCTATCGGGCCTTGTTGGCTCGTGGAACTCCTGAGGCAGCTGACGGGTACCAATGGGCCAAGTGTGCTGCAGCTTGTGCAGTGACAGAGACAAAAACTCGGGGTTGGGAGGAGTTCTGGGAGGACATGGAGGAGGACTATCGGACGAACTCAAAGAGATTCTGTTACATCGTCCGGCGCCTCAGGAGGAGGAAGCAGTTCTTCACCAACACTGTTTACAGTGCGGAGGGAGAAATGTTCACCTCCACTGGGGATGTTGTCGGACGATGGAAGGAAAACTTTGAGGAAATGCAGCAAAAACTAAAAAGGTTGACGTGTGTGTGTGTGAGAGGGGCACGTGCACGTGGAGTGTTCCAAACACAAACTCAGACAGTTCTGTCACGGCACATCCAAAATTCTCTCTTGGTGGTTCCTCTGCTGGTGTGGACTTGCATCGTGAGGCTCCGGAGCTGTTTTATTGTCACATATATAAGTTTTCCCCACAGCCTCTGTGCTGCCTGTGATGAGACAAAGACTGCACACTTTACCCACACTGGCACTGATTTTAAATGCCACAGCGCTCACAGATTGGTTCAGATGTCATCACCATATATGGACTTGTACCGTCCCACTCCAGCCTCCAGCACCAAGTACAGACCCACCTGGACACGTCTAAACCATGTGTAATACAGAGACTTTTATTTTGGTGAGTCCACTTCCTGTTTTGCTGCCCCGCACTTTCCAGTTCCTTTAAGTACATGCACTTTACTTCCCCTCGGTCTCCGCTGCGGCTGTGGCCTGGTCTGTCGCCAAACTTCCCAAAGTAAGTTCTGGAGCTCTGACAAACGACACATTTCACCTGCACTGTAAGAGCCTCCGGACATGTTTACAAGTCGGGCTGTGGACGGAGAGTAGTTTAAGTCTGTGGAACTCAAGGTCAGGTTT